TTATTTTATATATTATAATTTTTATCCATTATTATTTTTGGGCGTGGGTGGGGGGTGTTAAAGTTTGTGGGAGGTTGTTGCGTGCATTCAATTTTTTAAAACATTACTACAGCAGAGCGGGTGCATTTCTGTCATTACCTCGTAACTTTACCTCAAACAGTTTTATTTGGCTCAGACAGGAACCCTCTGAGGTGATTACGGCCGACTTTGGTGTACTTTCACGCTCCGATTGACGCATCAAGACCCACCCAATATAAAGATTGTTACGCTGCATTACACAAAACGTAAACAAATCGACATTGCTTCAAGAACGGCAGGAGGCGTACGTTACTACGTACAGAAGGCCTACTCTTCTCTGGATTCTGGAAGTAAGCAGGTCTCTGAACATTATATACTTTGCCCCGCACAGAATGTGGAGTATAGGAAAATGCCATGTGGATGAAGACTGAAGGGCTTGATTTTTCAACCAATGAAAGTAGCAATAAAAGCGACAACAACCTAAACAAAAAACAACAACACCAACAGCAACAATAAAAACATCAATGGTATAGCAGCAACGACAACAACAACAATGATATCGTCATCATCATCATCATCATCACCATCATCATCATCATCATTCATCCATCAAAAGCACAACAACAGCATCACCGACAACAACAATAGTAATAAAAACAACGACAACAAAATACAACAACAATAACAAAATAATAATAGCAATAACAAAAACAATAATAACAACAATAGCAACTACGATCACAACAACAGCAACAACAACAACAGCTTCAGCAGCAATAACAACAACAACAACTACAACAACAACAATAACACCAACAACAACAACAGCAACAGCAGCAATAATAATAACAACAACAACAACAACAACAACAACAAAAACAACAACAACAACAACAACAACAACAACAACAACAACAACTTCTAGCTGTTGTTTATCTCCGAGCATCAAATAAGGTTGAGGTAAATATTTACATTATAGATCATTTCTTTTTTAATGTTCGTTATCGATTCAATTCTGAAGATAATATTAAAGAGTATACCCCCCTCCCTTTTATTCACCTCCCTTTTCCCTATTCGCCCCCCCCTCCCAACTTTAATGAAAATCATCGCCCCAAGCAGCAGCACAGCATCATCATCATCATCATCATCATCATCATCATCATCATCATCATCATCATCA